AAAATTATAAACCTAGTTAGTGATCTAACATAGTAATAACATTTCATAATAAAACACAACATATATATATATATATATATATATATATATATATATATATATATATATATATATATGTGTGTGTGTGTGTGTGTGTGTGTGTGTGTGTTTATGTATATACGTGTATATATGTTTTGTTTTTTTAATGTATTTTTATTTATATGTAATTTTTAAGCATGTATTGGTGTTATATTTATTTATTTCATATATTTGCATCAAACATGGACAGATAAGGATGGTACAATTCTTAAAGCACAACATGTTTACTACGTGATTGTGATAGCATGCAAATTTATACAAATAGCACATGAAATTTTCTAATCATAATACAAAACAATTAGACTAAAACATATAAAATCAAAAATAAACAAAGATTATAAATTCAATAAAAAATATATATCATTTACATTTAACAAATAGGTCTCTGATGTCATAAAATTGATTTTCATTGAGATAAGTCAATTTTTTTAAATATTATTTTTTTCAATTTCAGCTTTGTCTGTTGCCTTTACAATCATAAATTATTATTATTCGATTTGATTTCATTTGGTATTTTATTATTTGGTAATTCGAATACATTATGGTGCATTATAAATATATATTATGTATATTTATAATGCACCACCTACCTTGTATTCACTGCTTTATTCCTTTACACCTTTTGTTGCATGGAAGAGATCACTATGTAGCGATAAGGGCGCTAAATTGTACATATCACAAATTCTATATCTTTTTTATATTCTTTGTAAATTTGTTTGTGGTGTACAATAAAATATATTCATTTATTCATTCATTCATTCATAAGTGTTTGTATCTTTAAGACTTCACTACTGTACATGGGCATTTTTGATATTCTTATAGGGCAATAAAAATAAAGAACCGACCAGATAGTGGCACTGTAAGAATATTCACTACCCCATATACTCGTAGTTTCAGCGGTATCTTAAGGGGTGATAGGGTGTAACAATCCAGAAAAGGAGCTGCTCCACGTGTGGCAACCTCTGTGTAGATCTATATATTCTACCGTGGATTTTGATTGGTTGCAATGAACGAATGATGAATGATGGTGAAGAAAAAAATGCAGAAGACAGAAGAAGCATTCATCAACCCGTAAATATACTGTGCTACATGAGTCAAGCGAGATTGGCTAGAAAAAGAAGTATTATTGTCGTTATCAAAACATTCTACAGGTGGATGGAAGATCGTTGTTCCAGACGTCGCGCACCTTTGGCGCTGCTCCCCATCACCGGTCTTGGTGTTTTATCTTTAGATAGCCTTAAAATCTTTTTTAAGTTTTTTGAGTCCCCTCTTGCGACATTTATGGTGAAGAAATGGACTCAGATATAGCACCACCACACGGCTTAAAATAAATATTTATTATTCCTTTAAAGGTGATGATGTAACAATGTATTTACTTAGGTGTTAACTTAAGTAGATCATGAAGATCAAACTGGTTAACCTATATTTGCTTCTGTGACATTATGCAAACATAGGTTGGCTGTTACAACAGTTACATAAACACAAGCACTCAATGTTTGTTGAGATTTCGACGTTCACGTTCCTTACCATTAAGGCCGTCTTATCGTACGATGTGAAGGTATAAAAACGTTGCCTTGCTCCCCGAAATTTTCGAGTGATTTATTACTAAAGTAGGGGAATTTGAAAAAAAAAAATAAAGTGAACTTTTTTTTAAAATTCTCTTGTTTACTTGGGTGACATTGGTGAACCAAACTTCAAACATGTCTCGGCAGACAATGACTGGATAAATGGCGAGCAAGTATTTGTAAAATGTGTTCTTAAAATTGCCTAAAAACAAAATGCATTTTACTAAAGTTTTAAAAGGTTTCATTATTACAGCAAAGTAAGTAATTACATGCCTAAATAGCAATTTAATATTATTTATATGATTTTTTATGAACCCAAACCTTTGTCTGTGCGTTATTTTTTATTTATTCAAGTAGATACGAAAAGATAAAAGTACTCTTACGTCGCCTTAAACCGTATTAAAATATTCAATTATAGTCAACCAAATCTAATACATTTTGACAGCTGGCAGACTTATTACACCAGGCATTCCAACCAAGAAATGGGAACGTACAATATTTGATTCTTAAAAAAAACGATATCGATTTTAATATATCGAGTTTGAATAATACCAGAATAAATTAAATACGGATAATTTAAAACACAAGATTTATCAGTTTCTATGTGTTTGTTGTTAAGTACTGCTTATTCTTATTGCTTAATCTTATTTCTATAGGCACAGTTATAAAAATTTAAGATTATAACTAAATTAAAAATAAATTTATTCAATCACTATCAGTAAAATTAGTTGACCTGTCGTTATTTGATTTTCAATAATGCAGTCAAAATTAATGTCTCTTTCAAAGTCATCAATAATATTTTTTTTTGTTTTTTTACCATTTTTGCCGAATTATCCTTTGTAAAATGGGCACATGCTTCAACGAATATTAAAGAAATGGTCCAAAAAGTTAAAGCCGAGTCACAAAGTAAGAAGACAAACACAAAATCACAAAATTATGCACAGTAAGCTCTCGAAATGGCGGGATATTGAAATTACGTAGTGGTTTTAATTTCGCGGTCTTGTACTTGTTTTTTTCTCAATTCTCAAAATCTCGCCAATTTGGTCGAAGACTGCCACTCACTTCTAAAACAAAAATGTTCGCCTTGTTGCGGTAGCGAAAGAGAATTCGCCACCATATATCGACCCATGTGTGTCCTAAGAGGCGACAGAAGGTAAAAAACAGGAGATGGGGAACATCATCTTCCTGACAACAGACTGAAATAATAAAATCTGCAACTATTGCGAATATCCAGCACATTTGATAATTTATAGGGAAACCTATTTTCACTTCAGTGCACTTTTAATAGGTTGTAATGATGAAGAAGATGAGTTATACTAATATATGTTAACCTTAATATTTACGAAAGAATGAAAACAATAATTAACTAATGAAAACTGCATAATTACCACATTGAATTAAAAAAAGCTATAATCCCATAAACATGCTACTACTGGACAAAGGCTGCAGTGATTTTTAGACAAAAATATGTTTGCTGCGCTGATCCCTACGCAAGATGACCTCAACTGGGAAATTCTCGGAATGCAGGTTGTCTTTCAACGCCCAAAACATGATAAATCGACACTTTGAATTGTCGAAGCAACGAACTATTTCATCAAAAAGAGTGCACTTCATTTTCAATTATTTACATCAGGTAACTTGATAACAAATAAAAATGATAGAAATAAAACTTTGACGATAGACACACAATATATTCATCCAAAGAGCTTCTCTCTTAATCTCAACAAACACGAAACACGTTCCGCGAAGGCCACAGTATCCAATATAACAATGTCATTAGCCATTTTGCCAAATGTGGTAATTGCGGTAAATCATCCCGATAATGGCCATTAGTATGGAAGTTTAAAATTTCGATTTTAAACAAATCAGTAGCATTCTATTATTATAGTGACTTATCATTTATTTATTTAGAAGTATGTAGATGTAGCTATTATTAAATGAAATAATGGAAGCCAATACTTATACCATTGAGCCACCCCAAAGCCGCGAACAGTTATTTATTGTATAAAGAAAGTAATAAGTGATGTTAATCCTGTTAAAAAATCTGTTTGTGGTAAAAAATACGCTATCAGCGCCATTATCCATTTTTCCAAATATGGTAATTGCGGTAAATCTACCCGAGAATGGCCATTGGTATGGGTGTTTAAAGTTTTGATTCTTAACTAGTCAGTAGCATTCAATAATTTAATATATTAGTGACTTATCATTTGTTTATTTAGAAGAAAGAAGATGTAGCTATTATTAAATGAAATAATGAAAGCCAAAACTATACCATTGAGACACCTCAAAGCCACGAACATTTATTTATTATATAAAGAAAGTAATAAATGTTGTTGCTCCTGTTAAAAAATCTGTTTCTGGTAAAAAATACTCTATCAGCGCCACTAGGGGTGAAAAACTATTTGACGATATCATGCAATATCAATGTTGTATTAAGTTGTTCAAATGATCTCTATTCATTGATTTGATTAAGCTGTATCATGATAAGGTCAACAAATATTCTTAAATATCATGTAATGTCACCATTTTACGAAATAATAGACTACTTTTTGATATATAATTAATTCTACGATTTGGCCAATAATTATATAAAAAATCCCTTTGATCAAACTATAATAATAACAAAAATTTTGCAATAGTTGCAGGCAGATCAGTTGTCATTAACTGTTGTACAACATTAACATATAGATTAGTAGTTAGTTGAACTAAAAACCATATCATTTTCATATTTTTGAGAGACGTCACTATTAAACGTTTAAAATTATTACACTTTCTAAACGAAGTGACGAAAAAACTAAAAAAAATAAACGTAAGGGTTTAAAATATATTTATCAAATTTTTTTAAACGTATAAAGGCAAGTTATATCATATTATTTATTTGTAACAGAAGGCAAAATATATTTTTTTAATTTTACGTTAAATGGCGCTGTTTTGAAAACTATATAAACTGTGTTGTTTCCTATTATTGCACAAAGGTTAAAACTTATTTTTTTATAGGATAGGATGACAAACCAGCACACAGTATACCGAAATAGGCTCATAGACATAAACTCAATTAAATACATTCTTAAAATAAATTAAATGAATTTATAAACGTTCTTCAAACGTCTAACAAATGTCAAACAAGATTATGTTCACAGGAACGTGCTAATTATATACAAATAGGTCTTAGGTAGTAATTTGTACAAAGTATCACTGTAATATATTACACTTGTGTTTATCAATAACCTATCTGTCAATTTTGACGTTTAGTTCGATCGGTGTAAACAATCCAAATTCGCAATCCGAGAAAAGCCTAGGATTAATCCTTCGAGTTCCAACTGATTACGTATTTTGTTTTATTTTATTTGCGCGAAAATGGATTTAACATTACTATCTAGTGACAGTGACAGTGATTTGGAAATGCTAGCTCGGTTATCTGACTCGAGTGATGAAGATGAAATCCTACGCCGCCCTCCAAACAGAATCAGAAGAGTGAATTATACGCCAAGTCTCGATGACGGTGATTTTACCTTTAGGTTTCGATTGAACAAACATGCGTTCAATTCTTTATTGTTAATAACCCCATTATTACGAGTAACATCCACGAGGCAAAGCAAAGCTAGCTCTATAGCAAATTAGATATTTTTTACAATCTATATAATATGCTTCATTTTATAAAATTCTTTGCAGAAATTACGGAGTATCACCATTGCATCAACTTTTGTTGACCCTACGGTTTTATGCACTAGGCACAATGTTGATATCCATAGCAGATTTTGTTGGAGTGTCAAAATCTACAGCAGGCAGAATAGTGCGGGACACATCATCAGCAATTGCCCAATTATATGATAATAAATATATTTATGTTCATCGAAGGAGTGCAGACAAATTCTATATAATTGCTGGATTTCCTCGTGTGCTTGAGGCAATTGATGGCACACATATCCGCATAGTCTCCATGTAAGTAACTATACTAAACTCTTCTTAAAATTTTGGCAAATATGAATAAACTATGAAGTTGCTAATAATAATGTTTATATATTTTAGGTCATTTAATAGGCGAAGAATACAGAAATCGGAAGGGTTACTTTTCTTTAAATGTTCAGGTGTTTGTGATGCAGATTTAAAATTTATAAATGTTGTGGCTCGTTAGCCTGGTTCTACGCATGATGCAACTATATTTAATAACTCTATTCTGAGAGGTATGTGTAAATAATATGTATTCAAATTGTAATAAATTTGAATATTTACTGTCAGATCCTAATATTCTTTATTTTTATAACAGCTGAATGCGATGCAGGGCAATTCGGAAATCGCAGGTTACTTGGAGATAGTGCCTATCCAAACAGGCCATATTTATTAACACCTGTTCTGAATCCAGTTTATGAAGTTGAACATAGGTACAATGAAGTACACATTAAAACTAGAAATACCATTAAAGGGTATGTTAAATAAAACAGTATTATTAGATAAAATGTGTTATGGGAATACTAGTATTTAATAAACAAATTGTTTGTATTACAGAGCATTTGGAGTATGGAAACGTAGGTTCCCTGTTGTAGCTCTTACACTACGTTTATCAATACCAAATATGCAGGCAGTAATAACAGCAACTACAGTCCTACATAATATTTGCAGAAATCAAAATCTCACAGAAATCCCCTCTGAAATAGAACTACCATCTATCGACAATAGTACAATGCCTCATAATGGAGTTGTTTATGATATTCCTACAAACCATAGAAGTGATTTAATAAATAATTATTTTATGACATTATAAAAACTTTGACACTCATTGGACAAATAACTCCTTAATTAACGTTACAGGTAAAAAAAATTATGTAGAAAAGCTAGAAATTAAATTGTTAATATTTTGTTAGTTTTAAATTTAAATGTAAAAAGAAAGTAAGTATTGAAAATAATTTCTCTATTAAAAATACACATTAATTACTATATTACTATAATACTGAGATATTTATAAAAAGAAACTTAAATTATAACTGCCTTGTACCTTTTATACCACATATGTGAGTAATAGTACTTAATCTTTTTAAAATGTTGTTAAATTGAAATAAACTGTGAAGTTGCTATTAAGTGTTGCTTTTCTTTATAAATTGTTTGTGAATTTAATTATATTTATTAATCGAATTAATTTTTATAATAGTAATTAATGTATATTATAAAAATATACATTAATTACTATAATATTGATAAATTATAAAAGAAGTCAAATAATTATAACTACTGTTAGCGACGTGCTCAAAAATCGTTATACAAATTTGTATTAGCTTAAGGTGGCGGGTATGACGGCCCAATCATCTCATATGTTTAAATATTATACTAAATTTTAAGGTAGAAAATCGAGTATACGTGTGACGTTACAGTATTGTATTAAAACTAGAAATCGAACGGCGACGCAGGCAGTCAGCCTTTACTATCGCGCGCGACACACGTACCCTTGCTCTCTCTCTCTCATATGCTCTTCTTCGTATACCTACCTACGTTGTGTCATTTAAAAATAAACGGTTTTAACGAATTTTGTTTTTCGAGTTTCCTACCATTTTATCGCGCCAGTGCACCCTTTACAAAGTGGTCTTCGAACCGGATCTAATGTTCAGCACACCGCCTGCAAAAATGGTAAAAACTCGAAGCACTACACGCAAGGAGCTCGTGAGCAAAGAGGACGAAAATCAGGAAGTCCAGTTACAAGTGCAGCCACAGCCAACTGATGGAAATACACAGAAGGATAAACAGACACCGACCGCTAGCCAACTATATGATGTTGCAGGTAGCAGCGCCAAGCACGAGTACCGCTTGCAACAGCCGCCCGCTTCGCGCACCGGTGCTAAGTCAACGTCCACGTCGTCCTCTCTGATGGCCAGGAGAAAGAAACTGGAACTAGAGATGGCTAAAGAAAAGGCTAAAATTCAAATGGATCTCATCGATAAGCAGTTTCAGGCGGATTTAGCAGACCTTATGGATGAAAAAGAGGAAATATACAGTCCACATAGTGACCCGCACGACGACACCAAGAATAAGAAAGTGGAGCAATGGTTAGAACAAAGCCAACTCGAGCGTGAACCCCCGTTGCACGCTCCAGAGTTCGGTGATCCGCCGGGCAAGCAGTGTCCGCCGGCGGCACCCGTTGCCGGCCCATGTGACGGAACGGTTCATATGCTCGCGAGCGCACTGCAGAATCTATCCTCGATCTCTGCAAATAATGGGACAAACAACAACCTGCTTAGTCGCATGTGTACCCCCCGGGACCTACCTAGTTACTCAGGGGACTCGTTGGAATGGCTCCAGTTCAAGCAGGCTTATGACGAGTCTACCGAAGTGTGCGGGTTTAGCCCGAAGGAAAATTTATGGCGTTTAAGGAAGTGTCTTCACGGGCCAGCTAAGGAAGCAGTTTCAGCTCTCATGATAAGCGCTACATCACCCGACGTAGTGATAAAAACTTTAGAGCTACTATACGGTAACGCAGACACCATTCTAAGCAAAATTACCCAGGGCCTGAAGAAACTACCACCTATGTCGAACGAATACAACAAAGACATCGTGTGGTTCTCAGTTAAAGTTCAAAACTTCATCGCAGCTGTGCAAGCCGTCGGCCGAGAAGAGTACATGCAAGGAATGCATATTTCAAATATTATTTTATCCAAGATGCCTACCGTACTAATATCAAAATGGTCCGATTATAGTTTTGCTATAATAAAGGAAGGAAAGAAATCACGTTTGAATATATTAGGCGATTTTTTAAATCAAGAAGCTGTTAAAATTTCGACTACAGCGAACGTACACGCCACAGAGGCTCGCAGCGTCGGATTTCAGCAGCACTACAAGAGTAAACCTGACAGTCGTCCTCATGCAGTATTAGTGCAATCAACGCACAGTGACATTAAGTGTTTATTTTGCAACGTCGCAAAACATAAATTAACTGAGTGCAAAATGTTTAAAAAAGCGTTGCGCAAAGACAGGTGGCGTCACGTTAAACGCCACGGCGTATGTTACAAGTGCTTAGTGTCGCGCCACGATCGAGAAACGTGTCCCGCGGCCGTCTGCGACAAAGACGGTTGCGGCGAGGCACACCACCGGCTGCTGCACTACGTGCGCGACGCCGGCCGGGAGCCGCGCGACGTCAGCTAGGAGCCGCGCGACGCCGGCCGGGAGCCGCGCCCCGCCCCGCCCGGCGCGGGCGACACCGGCGACGCGGCCCACAGCGGCCACACTTCCAGAGTCGCAGCTGCTACCGTGACACACATTAACTCTGCACACAACGTGTTATTGAAAGTAGTACCTATAAACATACACGGACCTAATGGTGTAATCAGCACGACTGCATTGCTCGACGACGGATCAACAATAACATTGATAACCGGTTCACTCGCTGCGCGGGCCGGCCTGCGCGGCCGCACTGAGACTATGCGCGTGAGCGGAGCGTGGAGCGGTAGCGATGTTATTGTTGATTCTACTGTTTTGTCTATAAATGTGTCTGATAAAAATAATTGTAATATGTCTACCATTAATGCACGAAGCGTAAACAATTTAAAATTGCCTGAGCAAAATCTTTATTCAATCGATTGTAGTCAGTATGCTCATTTGAAAAATTTGAAACATGATTTAATATTTTGTAATAATAATATTAAACCTGAAGTACTAATCGGCCAGGATAATCATCATTTGTTAGCTCCTATTGAAATGTGTATCGGTAAACGTAATGAGCCGTCCGCTACTCGCACCACCCTAGGCTGGTCCTTACATGGAATAGCGCGCGCACCGCCACACGGCACCCGCGCCTCGAACCCGAGCCCTCTGCTGTGCTGCAGCGCGGGGCCCGCCGCGCCCGCCGCCGGTGAGGCCGAGGAATTGCTTCGCGAACTTCATGACGAGGAAAAGCGCTCATTCATGCTCGATTCCCTAGGTGTGTGTAGCAAACCCCGTGAGAACAGCGAAGACGTGCGCGCGCGCGCTCAGGCGGAGCGCTCGGCAATGCTCGTGGCGGGCCGCTGGCATGTTGGGCTTCCCTGGCGCGATGAAGGCTGCGCGTTGCCCGATAGCTACGCTAACGCTTGCAACAGGTTCAAAGGAGTATAAAAAAAGATGGGGCGAACCCTGACTACGCCACTCGTTACTCTGAACGAGTGGATCACCTTTTACTTAATGATTTCGCTAAAGAGTCGACTGATATTCGGCGCACACCGCGAACGTGGTATTTACCACACTTTGGGGTCGATAATCCTAATAAAAAAAGTTGCGTCTTGTTTTCGATGCAGCAGCGAAAAGTCACGGAAAATGTTTAAATGATTACCTATTGCAAGGTCCCGACTTACTCGCGTCCCCATTCGGCATTATGGTACGTTTTAGAGAGAATAGAGTCGCTGTAGCCGGGGACATTAAAGATATGTTCCTGAGAATTAAAATAAGGGACGAGGATCAAAATTCCCTTAGATTTTTGTGGAGACCTCGCCCCGAACAATCGGTCAAAACTTTTAACATGACTTCGCTCATATTCGGTGCTAATTGTTCTCCATTTATAGCACAGTACGTGAAAAACAGGAACGCGGAACGTTTCGTTTCGTCGCTGCCCGCTGCTGCCGACGCTATCTGCAACCAGCACTACATGGACGACTATCTGGATAGTTTCCCGGACGAAGCCACCGCGACGTAAATGGTAAGAGATATTGTTTACATTCACAAAGAGGGCGGCTTCGAAATATGCAATTGGAATAGTAACAGTGTAGTAGTGTTGGACAGCATACGAAAAGAGACCTTAGGTACAGTGGCGGTAAGTCTCAAAAAGGGTCAGTAGTGTGAAGGAGAACGAACGTTCGGTCTTATTTGGTTTCCCGCTAAAGACGAGCTGGGGTTTGATTTATCCTTCAAGCGCATTCCAGAGTACGTAGTGAACGGAGCACAAATGCCCACTAAAAGGGTTATGCTGCGAGTAATTATGTCTATTTACGATATTTTTGGTTTCTTGTCGCCGTTCACAATACAAGGGAAAATAATGCTTCAAAATCTTTGGCGATCAAACATTGGCTGGGACGACGAGATTCCCAATAGCATTTTTAATAAATGGAAAACCTGGATCAATTTGCTAAAGGAAATGAGTAATGTACGCATTCCTAGGTGCTACCTAAGCCCTCTAGGTGCGAGCGAGACAGGTGATCACATGGCAACGGACACAGCTGACACACACAGCTGCATGTTTTTTGCGATGCATCTACTAAAGCGATGTGCGCCGTAGCTTATTGGCGGTGGACGTGCAATGGTAACGTGTTTGTTGCATTTATAGCGAGTAAATGTCGAGTTGCGCCGGTAAAACCACTGACTGTGCCGCGACTAGAATTGCAAGCAGCGCTTCTAGCGGCGAGACTCGCCGACACCATTGTTAAGGAACATAAGTTGAGCGTGTTACAGCGATTCTTTTGGAGTGACTCGACCACGGTTTTGCACTGGATTAATAATGACGCGAGAAATTATAAAACATTTGTAGCGAACCGGTTGGGCGAGATTGATGAGGTCACTAGTAGTAAAGAATGGCGATACGTGCCTACTGAATTAAATGTTGCGGATATAGCTACACGCGAAACCTACTACGACGCCACCTTTAAGAGTGTATGGTTGGGGGGCCCTACGTTTCTGCGTGACGATGAGTCATCGTGGCCGCGTCACGTCATTCGTCCTGTCACTGATGTCGAGACAACTGAACGTGTAAACCTGGTAACAAATGTGGTTACTACGGACATCCCTAGTGACGAGCCTACTCCCGATCCGGAA